CATTGGTAAGGGATATATCAAAGATGGCAGCCAGCAGCGTGAGTACTGGCACAGCTATTTATTAATTAACTAATTTATTAATTTTCTAATTAATTTTATAGGGGTTACATTGGTAAGGGATATATCAACACGAACCTTATAAACTCTTTACCAGCAGTGCAATAATAAAATACTAATAATAATAATAGTTTCCGAGAGAGACGCGCGAGTCATCGTCCGTGCCTCGCTGCTGCCTCGTTAGCCGTGTCGTTAATTATGTCCTACATGACGAGGATTCATGCTGCGTCGCCGCCGAATTTCCTCTGCGGCCTAATTAGTTCGCTTCCGTAGCACTACAGTGTAACTACTAACCATGGTGATGTCCCGATGATCAATTCTAATTGAAAGTCAGTCGTTTGCAGCCACCGACTAAGCGCTCGATTATGAAAATAAATGAGATTATAAAAAAAAAAAATTACAAAATTTGCAAACATTGAGGAAATTACTTTATTTTATTTGTGTGTGTTTATTTTGGTCGTTTTACAGCTTGGAGACAGTAAATCTAACCTACACCAAACATAAGCAAACATAATACTGTTGTATAGCTTTTAGAATATTGTATTATAAAAAATACTGTGTGATATGATATATGATATATTTCAATATCTGGTAGCCGTGATCAATAACATTCAACCGATTATCATCGATCATTGATCGGTTGGTTGCAACCGATGATCGATGATGAAATTTCAACCGATTCCCATCACTAACTAACCACCTTGATGACGGTTGTCGTGCGAGGCGGAATCGTGAGATAGCCATGTTAACACCGTTCTCTCGAGATCCGATTCTTTAAGGAAACTGGCGAATATATCTGTGGTTTGAATCGGCACTCGTGCATCTCTGTAACCTCTGTAACCTTGCGCGCACACACAGTTACCTCTCCCCCGCCCCCTCGCGTAAAACTCGTTTTATCCCGTTTTTTTATCGGGAAAACTGATTTTTTCGTTGCAGAATTGTCCGGGTCCCCGCCCGGCGAATATTCGCAGGAGGTTCCCATTAAGATGCCGGGGGACAAGTCGTCAGGGCCGCCCATTCTGCCTCCGCACCTGCTGCAAGTCATCCTCAACAAGGACACCTCGTTACAGGTGCGTGTGCGTGCGTGCAGGCATGCGTGCGTGCATGCAGGCGTGCGTGAGCGTGTGTGTGCGTGCGTGCAGGCGTGCGTGCGTGCGTGCGTGCGTGCGTGCGTGCATGCGTGCGTGCGTGCGTGCGTGAGCGCGTGAGTGCGTGCGTGCAGGCGTGCGTACGTGCGTGCGTGCGTGCGTGTGTGCATGCGTGTGTGCTTCGTCGTCAGTCCTCTCTGCTGTGGCAGCCTCGCGTGTTTAGCCCGCGCGTTTAGGGTTCCCCGGATATTACGGTCGCCAGGGTGTTTCCAGGGTGCGAAATTAACGGGAGTCCGGAGTCAAATACTCCCTGATTTAATGTCGGACTCCCTGATTTGACATATGCAGGAGTCCGCGTGACTCCCTGAAAATTCTGCCATACTAACTAGTTCGTTCCGGAGCACGGCCTCGTGGAATTACCGTATTTTTTCAGCTAATGTCCAAAGAAAATTTAGCAGACGTGCAACCGCATGAATCTTAAAAATAAGCACATGTGTTATTGTTAATATATTTAATTTTGAACCTCAGACTGCGGATTCCCTCATTTTGCTGCGGATCGATCGACTCCCTCTTTTTGAGGGTAGGGAGTCTGTTGGACTCCCGCGTTCAAAAATTAATTTCTACCCCTGTAACCCTGTAGCGGGTTTGAAGGGGCTACATGGGTAGAGCTACGGTGAGCGTGAACTTTGGGTTGTACATCTCTGTAGCAGGAGCGAAGTGCTACACGGGTAAAGCTAGCGCTATACCAGCTTCTCTCGTCGTTTTACAGTGTGAGCCGTCACTGTTGCCCGAGCCGAACCATGTCATGCTGAATCACCTCTATGCGCTCTCCATCAAGGTAGGTGTCAGGTAGCTGTCGTGCCCCCTCACTCACTGCCTGTCTGTCTGCAGTCTGTCTTACTGTGCGTGTGTGCTACATCAGGCCATAATAAAAACATTGTTTGTTTGCCCTCACCCGACCGACCCGCCAAAAAAAGGCTGACTCAAAAAAAAAAAATTCCAATTTTTTTTTAACAAATTGTATCACTGTACATTATATAAATTTGTAGGCAATACATTGTAGGCATGTGTAGGCATCTGTAGGCATTTGTAGGCATGTGTAGGCATCTGTAGGCATGTACCAAGCAAAACAAACATTCAAGAAGAACAAAAGGACATTCGTGCTTTTTAATTGGATTCGACATTCCTGTCGTGGGAATTGTAAGGGAATCGGCGTAATGTATGCGAAGGGACTGCTAACATACTAGGGGAAAAGTGCCAGGATGTAGTTACGTGGAGTAGAACTGTGGTCGGAGTTAGGTTAGTAGATTTAACTTGAAGATAACGTTCTCCACTGTTTTTACTATATTTTACATTTCGCTGGACACCACTATATGAACACATATGCTTTTAACACTCACATATGTGTCTTTCCATCTGTCTTTGTGTGTGTGTCTGTGTGTCTGTGTTTGTGCATGCGTGCGTGCTTGCGTGCGTGCGTGCGTGCGTGCGTGCGTGCGTGCGAGCGTGCGTGCATTCGTGTGTACGTGCGTGCACAAGGCTACATTATAATGCAACTATTACAATTCTTACAGGCAATGATTCATATCAACAGCAGTAAAAATGTATTGGGAATATTTATATAGCATAATCAACTTCTCACTGTATTAATTATTTATGATTATTAAATTTAACCCTTTGGTAAGGTGCATCATGAGCATAATCAATTACTGTAAAGTAATTAATTAATTATTATCATTAATAAATGGAATTGACCAGCTTTAATGAACTTTGTGTTTATAGCATTCCCATTGAGAAACAGTCAACGTCGTTCTACAGTTAATTTGCAATTATGATTGAAGTGCAATTAATGATTTATCCCTCTCTTTCTCTCTGTCTGTCCGTTGGTTGCTAGGATGGAGTGATGGTACTGAGTGCGACTCACAGATACAGGAAGAAGTACGTCACAACCCTTCTCTACAAGCCCATCTGATGTAACAAACATCACTCTGTCACCAGTATCCGCGTCTGCCATCGTGAGCTCATCGATGCGGGAGAGGTCATAGTTCATGGTCGTCTTATTTCTTTGCGTGCGTGCGAGTCCGTGTGAAGCTGGGTTTATACTACCGACTTTATGTTGGCGAATTGGCGAGTTGGACCAATTTCGGAATTCGGCAACTCCGAGTTGGCAAAAATAGAACATGTTCTAATCTCCAAACTAGTTGCTATTGATTGATTTGTCGTGCAACATTTGTGTTTACACTGCCGATTGTCGGTTGTATAGTTGGGAGTTGGTCCAATTTGCCAATTTGCAAATGCAAAGTCAGTTAGTGTAAACCCAGCTTAATAGGTATGTGTGTGAGTGTAGATAGCTTTTGAGTTGGCACTCGTGCGGTCGGTCTATTCTGTCGAGTATCGGCATGTCCGGTGGTGACATAGCTATATTTTCGAACACACCATAGGACGTGTTGTTAATGCTGCGTTTTAGTATGTATATATAATATACATACATAGGGGAGGTCACGTTTTCTCACAGTTGCATACAGGCACGGTTGGATGCTGTGTGCACGCGCAAGCAGAACACATAGTGTGCGAGTGATTGCTGATAGGGTTGGTATATTTCTGGCTTTGTATAAATTTTGTATAGTGCCTGTCAAGATGGGGGACGGGGTGAGTACGTGGTGTGGTTGTGTCACCTGGTGCAGGTTATACAATTCCAAAGACTTGTACATGAGATGGGCAGTTGTAGATTGGTGGCTTTTGGTAAACGTGGAAGCAATTTAACCCGTTAAGGCAATGATCTCTTTCATTTTGTCAGAAATGTGTCAAAAAACATCGTAAGTCAGAGTAAAAAATAAACAGGTTTGTTAGGTAGTGTACCGCATATCTCGTAACAACACAATTATAATTACGTTTATAAAATGTGAAATATGTAGAAATTTTACATCGATATCATATATATCGGTTACGCGACTCACATTTCATGCAGATTCCCTACATCTAATTTAGCCCGGTGTGAGCACTCGTTAACGCTTGCTTTTAAAGATGGCTTCACAATTCTGTAACCTTTGTTAATACGGCTTTTATATCTTCATAAATGAGATGTTTCGGCGTGTTGTTTGACATAAAACAAATTCAAATATAAGCTGATTATATGATATAATTGCATACAAAATCCTCGTGTTATATTCATATACTCGACTGTGCTTGGAAGAAAACGCATAGTTTCATTAGCCAAAGGCAAACACAAGTCATTGACTAAACTTTTCATATGTGTCGCTTAATCTTAATATATGCAGTTGTGTGTTATATGTTGTAAGAGATCTATTCACACTGCGTTATAGTCATCTGCTATTGTTTATTGGGAAGAGATTGCCACATTTAAAAGATTAAATAGATCATTGCTTTAATTAACGTGGAATTGTTGCACTTGTAATGTAAAATATTCACGCTTATACATTAATTATTACCTTAATACATCAAGACTCATCTCGTTAGTACAGTTTGTGCTGCTACGGCAGAGTCTGCTACATATTGCCCCGTTACTAGTTACTAGTGATGCCTCGGTAGTAGAGATCCAATAAAATGTAGTACAAATTAATGGTATTAGGGTGTGTGGGTTTTGGCTTACGTTGAGCTATTTACCAAAAGCAAATACTGTTCAAAGCTATGTATTTGCTGTTCGACTCAGTATAATGGCATCAGTAGTGTATAATACACTCCCGATGCCATGGGAATACACACGTAGCTGCTATTGCGTCAGATTTCTTGATATGTTAGCAAGCATGTAGCACGTGGAGCTGGGATATGCACAAACGCCACGTTGCACACTGTCATCCGTAGAAGTTCACAGGCATGTTGTTGTTTATCGTTTGTTGTTTGTTGTACGGGATTGTCGTAGTTATCAGATACCAATTCTGAAAATGTGAGGAATACTTTGTTACTAAGTTCCTAGTATATCGTTCGAAGAAGGAATTGTCACTATGTACGACTGCCACGCACTGTCACTACGGGCTCAGTTTACGTTTCACAGATGTTTATTTAGTTAAGATTTATGACTCGGTTAGGCATTAGGCCGTAGTGCCGTATCAGCGGTCACAACGTGGACAACCTTAAGGTTAGTCAGCTAGGTAGGTTAGTTAGGTGGCAGGCATCATATGATTCAAGGTCGATGAGTGAAATAGAAAAGAGTTGCTCTATTATGTATAAAATATATATTCATTATTTTGTAGCTCGAGTCACACACTGTCTCTCGCCTAAATGATTTCGGCTGACAGTTACTAGTGCATGCAAAGCTGCTCAGTAACATTGTCCCCTTGTGAGTTCGCTTTGCCTAAAACACCACAAGCATTCCTTGTAAATATTCGTTCAGCTTCTAAAGTCGGCTGTGTTCGATGTCGCCGAAGGCTACCTTAATGTAACCCTTTCATCGTTGGATTGTTATTAGGTTTTCCTGACGTCACAAGAGGCACCTGCCCGTGCATTGTGCACTCGGTGTTATTTTTTTGCTTTATTCCCGATCTACTGTATTGGGATATTATTTAGTGGAGGGAGTTAAAAGAATTATTCAGTTATCTTCGTGCTTTTCAAGGTCGTCCGTGTCAACAGGGGTTACGCTATGTGACGTAGGGCGTAATGCTGTTATAACATAGTGCATGCGTGGCGACAAGTTACCTTCTCGCTATTAAACAAATTTCCCAATATTATTCAAGTGTGAGGCAAGCTTTGCCAGCGCAGTACAGAAACTCTCGGCGGCTCGCACTCGCATGAATAGGTGGTAGAAGGATCTAAAGTTTATGTCGGTGTGACTAAAAACACTACGTTGTCTCGCTCATGTAGTAACCTCTGTTAGTATATTCGGTAAGAACAGACGTGCTTGTACGTGCTTGTATGCTAGCGTTGCTTCTTCTAGAAGCAACTGTAAGTTCTGAACTAGAAGTTCTAGTTGCCGCGATCGTAACTCGACTGTTCGTTGCCACGCTCTACAGTCGATGCCCGTCTACAGCACTTCACGTAACCTCGTAAATATTAGTCTTCAAAGTCCAAGAGACTATATATATATATCGAAGACGGGAAGAGACGCAAAGTTGATCTACGTACTGCGCCTCTGCGAAATTTCTTGGACCTGTTGCACGGAGGTCATCATCTTTGGGCAGGTCCGGATGATTTTACTCACTCGCGCTGGTTACCTACTGTAATTGTACGTCCCAACAAGTGGACACTCAAGGTTTATTGATGACTGTTCATTGTTCGTTATGACTGATAAAAAAACTCGATGGCTCCAGCAAATGTCGGCTCACTGCCTGACCCCTTATCCGGCTGCGAAAAATAGCGATTTTGCATTTTCTGGTGTATATAGTTTGATGGATTTCAGGAATGGCTTCAGTGAGCTGCTATGGGTCACGGCACATCGCCAGTGCTTTGCGATTCAGCGCGATATGTCAACTTAACACAAGCATAGGTACCTTACCTGGCTACAGTAACGTGTCATACCCCAATGTTACCTTTCTGTATCGAAATAACATGTTCTTCTACTGTGAAGTGCTGAAAAGAGGCGGTAGTTGCCGTGATCGATTTCGACATGCGATGCTAGTAGTAAGTTGTACTTAGCGGTTCTGTGATAATGTAGGAATGAATCATTCTAGTGGAATTCCTAGTTTCCAATGTAACTATTCTAAACGAGTTTTAACTCACGGTTCAGATTACGTACATATTTTGAGGTCAAGATCCATATCTTGCATATTGTTTATCTGTTGTTGATTAGTTTGTTTGATATTACACCATTTAAATATATAACTACATAGACATATAAATATATGTATATATATATATATA